AATGATATTATGGCCGTTCTAAATAACGAAATTCAATCTGTCGTGAAAGAAGCTTCAGTTTTAATCAAGCTTTGAGCATCATTTCATTATCCTTCTCATACAACCCTGTAGGAAATGCATGGTTGTAAATAGATTTACCATGCAGAACACTCCATCTCCCTCTAATTGGGACGCCGTCTCCCTCTAATTGGACGATGCAATTGAGGCGTCGCAACCGAATCAATGCGTTCTAACTTCGTTTGTGCGAGTCTAACAAGATTTCAGGCCGGGCGTGGGTGATATTATAGGTTTAGCCGTTAACATAGTCAATGCCTGGGCTATGGGAATGGGACGGATGTTTTTGTGATGTCAAACGTCAGCGAGATTTCAGATGGTCTTCAGACTTGTATTATCATCATCAGCCATAGGACGTCCACTGCTGAACATAGGCCTCCCCCAATGCTTTCTATGTTGATCGATTGGTAGCGGCCTGCGTCCAGCGCTTCCCTGCTACCTTTACGATGTCGTCGGTCCACCTTGTAGGTGGACGTCTCACGCTGCGTTTTCCGGTACGCGGCCTCCATTCCAGAACCTTGCTGCCCCATCGGCCGTCAGTTCTGCGTACTATGTGCCCTGCCCATTGCCATTTCAGCTTGCTAATCGGTCGTGCTTAGATCTCGCAAGGAAACACCAGCATAGCCCTCTCCATAGCACGCTGTGCAACTTTGAGCTTCTGTATAAGGCCTATAGTGAGAGGCCACGTTTCCGAGCCATAAGTGGTAACTGATTTTCCACACCCTCATTTGTCGTTTGTTCCCAGCTTTCCAGTTAGCAAATTGTCTGAAAAGAAATATGATTTGATTCAAACATTGAATCCTCCTCAGATTGAGTCATTTGTAACGTTAAAACGGTTTTTTAAAGTTTGACGTCATCGTTGTGACCTTGTTAGTAACTTTAGTAGAGATGAATAGTAACGTATTTCCCTGAAGCGTGAATTTCAAGTACCCATATCTCAAGAGCCTCTCACACTATAGTTCTCAGAAATGAAGTTTCAAGGGAAGTGGCTTACTGATTCAGTTTGTATGCACCCTGATTCGATTGCCCGGGACAACCGCCGGGAAGGGCACATGTCAAAGTTATATTGCATTATGTAGACTCATGTTGCTGAGATGTTGTGGCTGATATCACAGAATAATATTCTTTGCACAGAAGAATTTCATAATTTGGTGCAATTAAGCTTGCCTTAGAGTCCAGCACCATTTCGTCAGTTTCGTTTACATACTAGAGAAATCCATTGCAAGCTAATTATACTCATATTAATAGAAACGATTTAAAACAATACACTAAACCTATTTAGTGACCGGTCACTGAGGGCTTAGTGTGAATTTATATCAAATGTTCTCACTAGCGAGTGCGTAAAAAAATGACATTAAATGTATGACGGATTGTACAGCGCCCCTAGCGAAAGCTTTCAAGAACTAAAATTATCATACATTTTTTAACGCGCTCACTAGGTGAGGATGTTTGATGTAAATTCACACTCAGCCCTCTGCTCGCTCGTGAATACCTTCCGCGTGTGTTTTTTTGTTTTCGATGCATATTCGGGGAGATGAATTCACATTTCTATTCTCCGATCTTCTTGTGTATTGTCAACACGTCATACAGGGTGGAATTTTGTAATGCCACCTGGAGGGAAGGTACTCTTAATACTGTAGATAGAAAATTTTACTCAAAAAAAATATTCCTTTATTTTTTAAAAGAAACAGAACTACATTCAAAGATTTCCAAAAATTTGCTTGCCAGACCCGAGAATCGAACCAACTCAAATCTGTTAAAAATTACACCCTGTACTTTTATTGCACTTGATAAATCAAATGAAAGGAAAGCCATGAAATCTTAAATAATTGTAATTATTTAAAGAAAATTTTATCGCATGAGGGTAAATTTTCAAAAAAAAAAGTCGGAAATCTATGAATGCAGTTCTTTTTCTTTTCAAAAATAAAGGAATGTTTTCTTCGAGTAAAATTTTCTATCTACAGTATTAAGAGTACTTTCCCTCCAGGTGGCATTACAAAATTCCACCCTGTATAATCTTGAACAGACGAACAGGACATCTTTACATGACTAATTTGTGTAATATTTACGTACGTAGTTCTTGCTTACTAACAATAATTGTGGGTTTTCGCTAACACAACCTTTGTTGTATTGTCATTTTATAAACATACAAGAAATACCCAACTAATTCTGATTTTGTAGTTCATTAAAACATTTAACCTTAACTAAAGAACGCTTGAGTCACCGATGGTTGTTGTCTTCTTTATTCTGCCTTAGGTACCTAATTATTTTACTGTAAATACCCAGTAAAATACAAACGGATGTGTTCGTGTAAACACGTAATTTTAAATGGGGATCATACACGTAATCTCTGACGTCATTATAATCATAGGCAGTTAGAGGTAAGATTATAATATATAAGAGCCAGTTCCACCGTGGTTGAGGATTCCGGGAGAAGCTCGCTTCCACTTTCGGCCTGATCGTCACTTACCATCCGGTGAGATACAGGCCAAGAGCTTCCTCGTTGTGGATAAAAAAACATGATTCCAGCCACAGGACATCCACTGCTGAACATAGTCCTCCCCCAATTATTTCAATCTGTGACGTAATAATTAAATATTTGAAAACGTTTGCAGTCACACTAGGACTTGATTATAACTTGATACTTAACCACCGCTTTAAAAAAAAAAAACCGGCCAAGTGCGAGTCGGACTCGCGCACCGAGGGTTCCGTACAAACCTGCAAGGTTTACAAAGTTCGTTCATTACGACAATCGAGTCATAACTAATTTTTTTTTTTCACGGGTTAAAGGCAATTAGATCTAAGTATTTGATATGAATTTCAACTTGATAGCTCTACGCGTTCATGAGGAAAAAAGTAATAAGTTTATATTTATTAAAAAATATATATTTTGTAATGTAACTAAAAATTTAAGGTTTTCGGAATTTTTCCTTTATGTGTGCTATAAAACGTTGCTTCATGCCAAATTTCAAGATTCTAGGTCGACTGGAAGTACCCTTTAGGTTTTGATTCCCTTGCGAGTACTTGCGAGTTTCAAAATATGCAGCTTAAATTGCTGTTTCTTTTGATTGCGTTGACATAGAAGTTTGATTTTGTTACAGCTTAAAGGTATTATAGACCTGAGTATTTGGTATGAATTTCAATTTAATACCTCTACGCGTTTATGAGGAAATGGGTAGTAAGTTTAAAATTATTAAAAAAATATATATTTTGTGATGTAACTAAAAATTTATGGTTTTCGTAATTTTTCCTTTATCTATGCTATAAGACGTTGCTTCGTACCAAATTTCAAGATTCTGAGTTCACGGGAAGCACCCTGTAGGTTTTGATTCCCTTGCAAGTGTCGAAAATTTGCGGCATAAACGGCTGTATCTTTTGATTGCGTTGGCTTAGAAGTTTGATTTTTTCACAGCTTCAAGGGACAGTAGACCTGAGTAATTGATATAAATTTCAGCATCATACCTCCACGCGTTCCTGAGAAAAAGGCTCTTGACAGACGGACGGACAGACGGACAACAAAGTGATCCTATAAGGGTTCCGTTTTTTCCTTTTGAGGTACGGAACCCTAAAAACAATTCGGAAAACGTCCGTCCTAGGTACTTGTAATAAAGTAATATTTTATTTATTTATTTATTTTCTTAGGTTTACCAATAAATTATTACACTAATAATGCTTACAAAATATTAAAATATTCTTTTGTTGTCACAAAAAATCCATCTGCGATTTTTCAGCATGCATCCAGCATAATGCTGAGTGAGTAGTTTTTTGACATGCTAAAAAAACATTAAAGTTTTGGTATTCTAAATTAGAATGATACTGGTTTTCAGGTAAAATATCTCCGTTTTTCGATGATTTTACATTTTCATATTGTGTAGGTATAACACTTTAAACAATATTAAAGTGTAAACGCATGGAAAATTGTGGATATCTATGTATATATATAAAAGAAAGTCGTGTTAGTTACTCCACTTATAACTCAAGAACGGCTGAACCGATTTAGCTGAAAATTGTCAGGGAGGTAGTTTAGAGCCAGGAGAAGGACATAGGATACTTTTTATCCCGTTCGAAATTAAAAAAAAACTGCTTACCTATTTATTGCCATTAAGGCGGAACAAAGTTCGCCGGGTCAGCTAGTTTAATCTAATTTAATCTAAAACTGAATGAAATTTGACAGTTGATACGGATTTGGATAAGGTCAACAGTCCTCCATCGCGTTCGGTCTTGAGCTTCGCGTTGGATCTCGCTCCAAGTCTTGCCGATTTTCTTCGCCTCGTAATATAAATATAATATCCTTGGACATTTTATACTGCGCTTCTAGTCCCAAACTAAGCAAAGCTTGTACTATGGGTACTAGACAACGGATATAAACATACTTAAATACTTTTTTTTAAATACATACTTATTATACATAGAAACACCCAGTCTAATACAAACAAATATGTTCATGCACACAAATGTTATTAGCAAGCTGACGGATTAGCAAGCTGAAGTGGCAATGGGCAGGGCACATAGTACGCAGAACTGACGGCCGATGGGGCAGAAAGGTTCTGGAATGGAGGCTGCGTACCACCACAAGGTGGACCAACGACATCGTAAAGGTAGCAGGGAAGCGCTGGACGCAGGCCGCTACCAATCGATCAACATGGAAAGCATTGGGGGAGGCCTATGTTCCGCAGTGGACGTCCTATGGCTGAAATGATGATGATGATGACACAAATGTTTGTACTGTGCGGGAATCGAACCCGCAACCTCCGGAATATTAGTCCGTTTCGAACCACTACACCAAACGGCCAACAAATGATGTAGGGTAAACCAGAGAGTGATTGCCCACTGGTAGTGATTGCCCGCTTTAAGAATAATATTGTCAGGTGCTGACTTTGAAGCACTCTAGTTAGATTAGAATTTANCAAGCCTTACTCGGTGCCGACCGAGAGCGGGTATTTAGGATGCAGAAACGCGCTGTGAGGGCCATTGTACAGGTATCGCAGCGAACAACTGTTAGGCCTCACTTCAGAAACCTAAGTATACTCACCCTGCCGTCCATAGTAATTTACCAGGTAGCTATATACACGCGCGAGAACCTGGACTCATTTGTGAGACATAGGGATCGTCACAACTATAATACTCGCTTCGCCGAAGCACTAGTATCGACTGCAGGTAGACTACGAAAGTCTGACTCTTTGACGCACGTATTGGGGCCTAAAGTATACAACCGATTGCCTAAAATAGTGAAAGAAGCGGTATCACTCCATTCTTTCAAATTTCAATTAAAAAAGTGGTTGATCGAGCAGGCGTTCTATAAAATTGACGAACTGTTTGAAATTTAATTATTATTGACACTGTTACCCACTAGTTTTTATTTTGACATTTAATTGACATTAATTCTATTTGTATTATTAATTTATTTGGACATGATTTCTTTCTTATTAATACTGCAATTGTTTATTATTAATAAGAAAATATATTGAAAATTTGACATGTAATGAACATTATGAATAAATTTCTTATTCTTATTCTTATTCAATATTTTTGTATCTATAATGAAGCTTCCTTGTCCACAGCGACGAGACCCGCGAGATCGACGGGCGGGCGCGTTCCGAGTCCGGGGACACAGACTCTGTGTATCACGTCAGGGGAGCGTTGCACGACCCTCGGTGGAGAGACCACCAGGTAAGCATTAGAACAGGCACAGATTTTTACTCAAGAATTCATTTCTACTATAGAAAAAAAGAAAGAAAGAAAGAAATAGACTTTATTGAACACAGTAAGCACAAATTATAAACAATAACAACACAAAACGAATATAGAAAATAGTGGGCCACTGGGTCAATAGGCCCGCTCAGCATTTATCCTGACATGCTCGTAAGGGCATGTCAAGAAACTGGTCTTCCGCGAGAGCCCTTGTTGTGGCTTCGCGCATCCCTTTGGAGAGATATCGACTCGAGTTCGATATCTCTCAAAAGGGGTGAGTACTATGTATTCATTACTACATTAGTAGTCACAGAAAGACGACTAAGTAGATATCTAAACTTAAATATTATTAATCAGTGCTTCTACCTAGTTACTAGGTTACGGTTTAGAATAGCAATTGTGTTACAGTACGGGCGTGAACCGGTTATCTGAAATAATTTCATATTTATCACGTGAACGTTACTGAATGCACACGTAAATAATGACGACGTTTTGATCGTGTGTTTTATGAACTATGAGTTTAAGACTGAGTTGCACCATCTTGCTTTAACTTTAACAAACGTCAAAAATCTTTCAAACTCCATACAAAATGCACCGGTTATCGTTATAGTAACCGTTAAAGTTAAGGCCTATTCAGACCTAAGCGGTATTCGTTACCGTCTGCGGCAGAGAAAACCCAGTGGGTACTTATGCTATAAGAATACTGTTCAGACCTAAGCGGTATTGCCGCGGTACTTGATACTTAATACCTGAGCGAAACCCGCGCGGTATGTACCTCTACCCACAGCGGCAGCGAATATCGCTCAGGTCGCTCTAGCCGCGATACTTGATACTAAATACCTGAGCGAAACCCGCGCGGTATGTACCTCTACCCACAGCGGCAGCGAATATCGCTCAGGTCGCTCTAGCCGCGGTACTTGATACTAAATACCTGAGCGAAACCCGCGCGGTATGTACCTCTACCCACAGCGGCAGCGAATATCGCTCAGGTCGCTCTAGCCGCGATACTTGATACTAAATACCTGAGCGAAACCCGCGCGGTATGTACCTCTACCCACAGCGGCAGCGAATATCTCTCAGGTCGCTCTAGCCGCGATACTTGATACTAAATACCTGAGCGAAACCCGCGCGGTATGTACCTCTACCCACAGCGGCAGCGAATATCGCTCAGGTTTGAATAGGCCTTTAGGTGGTGCAGCTCAGCCTAAGTTTGTCGTGGTACAGTCAGCGCCAAATAGCTCGTGACACTCAAAGTGACCAAAATGTTGACAGCACAACTTTGTTCCGGTTGTAGTTGTAACAAAGATATGTTGCGAACTTTTTGACCACTTTGAATGTCACGAACTATTTGACGCTGACTGTACTTACGTACATCTAGTTCTTTAGCTAGCTCGCAATTAAGAAAATAGTTGATACTTATCAATAATTTAGTGAGCTACAACCTACAACCCTCTTAAAAAGGGGATCACCCGGTATCATCTTTTAAATAAAAAGAAATTTTAAAATCTGTTTGTAAATTACGGAGTTCTGTGATAACAGACAAACAACCGAATGAGATCCTTCTTTTTTGAAGTCGGCAAATAAGAATAATAAATAATACGCGTTTCATAAAATATTCCGCTCAAAATACAGGCGTGCTTCAAACGTAGCTGCAGACAAGCAGACGTAGCGGCGAAATGTTCCCACATTTGCATTTAATTTACATTTCATATTAAGGCTGCGACAATATGGTACTGTTTCTAATTCTTTACTCTGCGACTTTCTCTATTAACTAGCTTTTGCCCGCGGCTTCACCCGCGTGAAATTGAGTTTGTTACAGATCGTCTTAAATTATAGCCTATATGTTATTCTGGGTTATAAAGAATAATACTGTAAAGTTTTATCAAAATCGGTTCAGTAGTTTTTGCGTGAAAGAGTAACAAACATCCAAACATCCAAACTTTCGCATTTATAATATTAGTAGGAAAATACGAGTTAATTAGACATTGGATGTTTTTGTATACAAAAATGAAATAAATTACAGCACTTAAAATCTAAATTTTATTAAGTATATTCTTTAAATAAGCATTTAAAAAATCTAATTATTAATGCTATCGTAAACAGTACTTATCTCAGTCAGTTTCTCTACATTAGTCTACATAAACCTCCTCAAAGTCCGGTAACATTACGTTTTACTACAACTTCCATAACACTATACGTCTAAGTTCCCAAACTCCGCGACTGCCAGCCCTACCCCCCTAATTCGCCAAGTTCCGACGTTAAGTTCGGGCTCCGTCGGAATTGAATTTATTTCGCTTCACGAAGTCTAGTCGCCCCGCACTTTCGCGAAATCTTCCTAATTGTGAACAAACTTTGGGAACTGCTGACATTGGTTGCAGTGCGTTTTTGTGCAATCAACTTTCTTAAGGTCTATATGGAGTTGAATTGCCAAGATGAGTTTTGTTTGAGGTTAAATTGGAAGGATCATTAGGCGGTTATCACACTGCGCCGCGCTCCGCCGCGGAGCGCGTGATTTTCATATAAAAAATCACGCGCGCGGACGCGTTGTCAGTGTGAAGTGCCGCGCGTGTTTTCTATACAAACTGAGGTACTTGCATACAATGATTAAATCTGTCGCCGGAGCGCGGCGCAGTGTGATAACAGCCTTAGATTCTCACTATTACGGGATTTGGCAACACACAAACACTTTTAAAAAGGTGAAAAGGTTTTTACCTTCCCGACGTTTCACGTTTCGTTTTAAGAGAGGAAAGTAGGTTTTAAATTTTGGTTTTTGACATTTAAGTTCTTTTGTGAACTGAGGCTATCTACAATCTACATGTCCAATAAAGTGTATTTATATACAGAAATTTTCGTAATAATTGATATTTTGTATAACATACCAGAAGAATCCAGAGGGTACTCCTAACTAGTCCTAATACTGATATCATATATTTGTATGGAAGATTATGACATTATTGTCCTCTATTTATAAAGTAACCATAGCCAAAATACACTCCCAGCCATAATCAAGTTTTAATACAAATTATGTACAAACTATTAACTTCATACTGCGTTAACTGCGTTTGCCGCAAACTATTATAAATAAATTAACGCTAATGGACGTGGCTTTTTGCCCAACAAAGGATAAAACATTTTTGAAATCAAATGCCCAGCCTTTTATGCTTTAATCGGATTAAAAACGATGTACCGTAGCTGAATGATGGCGAATAAAGTTTTTTATCGTAATCCTACTTATATTCTAGATGCGAAAGTTAAAAAATAAGAATACAATTTAAGAGTTTATTTAAAGAGTTTATTATTAATTAAAATAAATAAAAAGTAAAAAAACTAAAACCCAACTACGACAAAAAACGACACTGAAAAAGTATAAAACAAGATTTTCAGAATACTGAACTGAACAAACTTGCTAATGTAGTTGCATAGTAATTTTCATGTTTGGAAAGGCGTAGTCACACGTTGTCAAAGTGCTACGGTAGGTAGGTATATGAAACGTGTGACTACGCTTTTTACTTTTTATTTATTATTTGTACTATTTTGGTGTTAAAGTGTATTTGTGGCGCATAATATTAACAAAAATTAAATTGATGAACTAGTAAGTAGTAAAGAAGCTATGAACGAAAAGATGTGAATTATATGCAATCAGCCCTTGAATACAAATAAGTTACAAGCAAATGCTAGTAATATATATATATATTCAAAATGTACAAGTAAAGCGCTTTCAAATGATACCAAACACGGCATATTTATCTTAACTTTATTTTTTAAATCTGTATGTTTTATCCGCTAGAGGGCGCCACATTAGATTTTGTGAAACCCCATATAGCCTATAACCAGCGGACAATTAAGACGCTTCTAATGATATGTCATTTGTAGAATTCTGATAAGTAGTTTAGAAGTTACGAGGGAACACATGAACATACATACATACATACATACATACATAGCCTGTCAAAATCATAACCCTCCTTTGGCTTTGCCGTAGTCGGGTAAAAAATACACTTCTAATGTTGTGTGTCTGGCATACATTTAGTATGGAAGCTGGAAACATTGAATTTTCAGATAGATCCAGTTTATTCTGTAACATACTATTGGTACCGTTTAAAAGAGCTCATGAAGCACTTTCAGGATCAGTAACAAGTTTTTGAATATCTTGTATAGTTTAGAAATAATCGAGTGAGATCACTTAACGTTTCCACCCTGTATAGGCTATAATTTATGATGATCTGTGACATACTAAATTTCACGCGGGTGAAGCCGCGGACAAAAGCTAATTAATAATAATATGTTCAGTCCAGTCAAGTTTCTTTAAAAATACAAAATTGCCTTGAAATAAAATAACCAAACAAAAAGAATATTGGGACCTGTTATACAATTATGCGAACTTATGAATATTGAAGTAAAAAATACGGTAATTTCATAGGTAAAGAAAAACCTATTTATAGTTTAAAAGTAAACAGACCAAAAACTGACATATTTATTTTTCAAATTGCCTATTAACAACAACTTATTGTCTTTCAGCCGGTCAACGACCTGAAAAATCAGGAAAAAAAATTACGACAACGGCCTATATATGTAGTATGGTAGGTTTTTACTTCTAGGCCATTCACCCCGTCTTGGGTTTGACAAGTAGGTATTATAGTAGCGAGGTACCTCTGACATAGCGGAAGTCATACATGAAGCCATAGAGAAAACATTTTTAACATGTTACGTTCAGGCTACGCACGTGATTACATTGTACTTGTACGAGTACTTACCCATTACATCATTATCTGTTGGTTTTTTGTGTTGGATTTTATGAAATTATTTATGATCACGTTTTTCTAAATGTTCATCAAATAATTCTTATGCGTTGAAGGAGAGAATTATATTCCCATTAACACCTTTGCTTTCAATAAAGTGTAATAAATAAAATATTAGTTTTAGTGTATATGTTACGGTTAATGTGATAAATTGAAAATTATTAATAATAACCGGTTATTATGAATAATTACCGACAGTCGCGGTAAAAGTGATAAATTAATCACATTTAACAGTGATTATTTAATAATTCAACCTTAGTACTAATAACAAATTTCATAAAAGAGAACAACATCTTGTGTACGTGCTCGTGTACAGCCAAACTTTTAAACGTTTTGATGTCATATATTAATATAATTTGGCATAATGAGTTTTTAATGTTTCTTGCATGATATTACTTTTCCATGATGCCTATAACATAATGTTTGGATTTAAAGTGAAAAATAGGTTAAGGTGCTGCGGGGGTGGCCCAAGGGCCACCCCTAAACCGCATATTTAGTTTTATACACACATAAATGACCTCATATTAATCACATTTACCAAATCATGCGGTGATTATTCATAATAACTGGCGATTATTCATAATTTTCACATTTATCACTTTGACCGTAACATATCGATTCTTCCAAATAATTCGATCAAATTAGTCGCCATTTTTAAAATCTAGCACTTAGTCCTGTCGTTTGGTTGAAAATAATGGGATTAACTGTAAAGTTTTCAGTTATCCAGGCAAAACTACCATATGACTGGATTAATTCTGCATTTTAACAAAAAGCTCGAATAAATGATGTGCAGAATTCAATTCTTTGAAAAAAATCCATTGTTGGTCTGAAATTCTAAACATTTGAATTCATACAATAACACGCTTATTTCTTTGTTCAAGTTTGCATCGATTTGGTGCGCTTTATTAAACCTACAAACTTCTCTTTTACGGCACTCGTATTCGTTTTCCTGAACGAAAGTCCGGACTCTCCCTTAAATCAAATTATCAAAATGCGTATGTGCCGTTTGCTTCCGTCGTATAAAAAGGTTTTTCTTCTGTTTGTCCACGTTGTTTTAGGACTCTTATTAGAGTCGTAAGTAATGGGCCCACTTTGGGTTATTAAGAGAAATTGGGGTTCCTTTGCAAATGTGTCCCTTTTTCCTGACATATCCAAGTTGTGCTGTGATGCGGACTGCGGAGAGACGAAGTTCGATGAACTTTTGACAAACATAATATGTTTATATAATAGAGTAAATATAAAATCTTTGGATATCTTTACTCTTTAAACGCAGCGTGGGACGTCCACCCGTGGACCGACGACATCATAAAGGTAGCAGGAAGGCGCTGGACGCAGGCCGCTACCAACCGGGCTACATGGAAAGCATTGGGGGAGGCCTATGTTCAGCAGTGGATGTCATATGGCTGAGATGATGATGATGATGATCTTTACACTTCTGCTTAGCCGTACCAACATTACCTACCTGTAAATCGTGAAACCTCCTGGTAGGCAATGCCTAGTATGGCAGTGTATTCTGTTAAACAGGTATTCTCATATAAGTACATAAAAAAAATGTTGTAAGGCACACGTAAAACACAAGGTTAGATAATATTTGAAGTACGAGTACCTTCTTACTTCGGTTAAGGTCAAACTATGAATTTTCAATAGGCTATTATGCTAAAAGTCTATGCATGTATGATTGGCCTAAATATTAAAATTCAACCAATCACATATTTGAATGTAGGTATGTTTGAGCTTGAAATGAGTTTCAAGCATTGAATCATGCGAGCCTACCTTTTATCTAGTTAAATGGATATCACCACATTTTCAACACTATGCATATAAAATAGGGTTAAAATGAATGGATTTTACCACTTTCCTGGTTCAATAGGAACAATGGCAATTGAAATCTAATTCGCATTCGAAATCACGCAAATGTATGAGAATTTCCATACGATATGTGAAAATTCGTACGCGAATTGAAACTTTAATGCTTTAAAATACGGCTTTAGGCAAAAGGTTTATAGCTTTAGGATTCGCCAGTGATAAATAAGTATGAGCACTTCGGAAAATTAGACTGATTTTCGTTTCATTTGTTACCTATACAGGATGTCCCAAAAACAATGCATAACCTTACAACTGTCGACTAGCCTCCTCAAGATCTCTATAATGTCAAAATTTTGACTTTAGTAAAAATATCACAGAAAAAAGATTTTTATTTTTAGAAAATGGCCATCTGTGATTATTTTTTCTCATGAAATTCAACAAAATAATTCCAAAGCATTGAAAAAAGATGAAAAAGAAGAAAAGAAAAATGTGTGTGTCAGTTTTCTAAAAAATACAAAAAACTTAAGAATCTCGAAAACCGTGATATAAAAATATGGTCAAATTTTTTTATCACAGAAACCATCCATAGTGAGGCTTATCGATAGTTACAAGGTTATCCATTGTTTTTGGGACACCCTGTATGTAGATGGTTTATAAAACGAACATAGTGTAATACAAAATTAAATGATTCTAATGAAAATTTCCAGTAATGTAGTCAGTCTAACGAGGTCCAATGAAAAGCATTTCCGAATTGCGCTTGCATGATAAATACACGACGCTGTTCAAAATTTCGATGCATTTGCGAATGCAGCCAAAGCAAATGTAAAGCCAAATCCGACCAAATCTTTTCCGACGACTCTAAATCAACAGGGATAAGGTCGATTTCTAAACCATGGAATACAGGCCGGAATATTTCAGTTGTGACCAAATCTGGAAGGGTGCCAATCGAGCCTGTATATTGGGTTATTTGGCGCACAGTGTCAAAACCGGTTAGTAAAGGCAACGTGGAACCTTTATTTTATAGTTGCATGCATTTCATTAATATTCATTTGATTGAAATTGAAATGGAGATAGAGTTAAACTAACGAATACCAATTTAAAAAAAACAGGTAGATGTTATAACGTAAATCGGCTTGATTTTGAAGCTTTCACGGATTAAGCAACGAAAAATAAATGATGTTAGTATTTTAAATATAGGTAGGTACATCTGTAAATTTGAAGACCAAAACTGTAGTGTAGAATCAGGGATTGTGTACCTACTACAAAATCTTGTAGTCTAGAAATTACTGATTCTTGAAATTAAATGCAATCTAATCAATCGTGAATCACTTATTTCAAAATTTTCATTATGAACGCCATTTGTATGATTAATCTACAAATATTTATAAATACACCTTGTTCACAGTCAAGTTCCTCTCGACGCCCCAAGCGCGGCTGGCCCGCCGTGAGGGCGTGGTGCGTGGCGTGGTGGCACTCCGGCAGGGAGGACCAGGAGGACACCGAGCCGGAAGAGGAGCCCTCCGACCCGGGGTATGCCACGCCCGTGTCTGTGGAGACGCCGCTGCAGAGCTCTGTATCCAGGTAAGTGTCCAGTCAACTTATAAGCACTTAAAATGGGCTCCAAACATCTTTATATCCATATCAAATGCATTGTCTCCAGATGTACGTCGTTAAACGTCATCAGGGATCCATACGCCACGCGCGGCGGCTCCGGCGGCTCCACAGGTCCTGACGGAGGAACTTCCCCTCTCCGCAGAACCTACGACCCTCCCCCTGGCAGCATCCCAGCTGCCCGGGACAGCCGGTCCCTCCCACCAAACACAAGAATCAACTCTACTACCTCACCAGCACCAAAATCTGCCTCTGCCGACTCTGTCTACACCATCGTCATACGCCTACCTGACGCGGACTCTGACAGAGCGACAATCAAAATGATCACCGAAGAATCACCACCCACCAACACGAGAACGCACTATCGACCGCCTGCGAGGGGTGATTCAGAACTGAATCTCCACCCAGCCGGTCACCCAGCGCTCACGAGAAGAACGTCGCACATACAAGACGTAAGAATACCTTTAAATGCAAAGATTATCCCGAAGCAGCTAGCTGGGAAGGGGATAACTTCGAAACAGCCGAAGAAGAAGAAAACGCAAGAGAAGAAACAGGAAACGAAAGCTGCGAAAACGCTTTCAGCTATTCTCCTATCTTTTATTATAACTTGGACGCCTTATAACATTCTGGTGCTCTTGAAACCTTTGACGGCGTGCACGAGGTGCATACCTGACGAGCTCTGGTCTTTCTTTTATGCTTTGTGCTATATCAACTCCACAATAAATCCGGTTTGTTACGCTCTGTGTAACGCCACGTTCAGAAGAACATACGTTAGGATCTTGACTTGTAAATGGCACAACAGAAATAGAGAAGCGATGACTAGAGGTGTGTACAATTAATTTGATAGGAAAACTTGGTTTTTGAGCTTCATGGTGTATTTGGTGCGTAGGTTATCTGAGGGGTATGGTGTGATGTGTGATGTGAACTTTAGTGATGCCAAAATGAAGATTGCCCAATTTTGGTATCTAAGATGCTTCGATGGTACCGAGTTGATACACCTTCAACCAGCCTGGGTTACCAACTCTAAAGATTAAAGTACAAAACTTACAATACCTCTATATTTTTCGCGTAACCAGCAATACTCAAAGCTCCACTGTATGAACTCGGTGCTCTCCATGTGTCTACTAAAGTTAACTTTAAACATTTTCTAAAAGTGAACTAAAATTTTAACTAAATGTATTGTGGTAAAACCTGTGAAATGTCTGTTCGTTGTTTTCCCCACTAAAAGCAATCACGAAGCTTTTCGTTTCCATAGTGAGTTAATCATCCCGTCCATTCGTAGTGGTATCATTTATAGATTTCGCGTTTTGTGATATTCTTGTGTTAGAAGAATTCTACGTTGACGATTCCACTCTCTGATATTTTAAGTCTTCTGTTTTAAGAAGAGATATATTAAATCGCGAAGGGTTAATTGACCTTATAAATGCCCGAATATTAATTTAAGAGTGATTAGTATTAGAGTGATAAACGCTGAAAATAGAGGCGTAAAGTGGGTAGAAACAAATCTAGTCTTTAATCACGATTTAATTGTAATTTCTCTAGTCAAAGATTCTCTATACGGTGTTCTGAAAAGGTTTGAGCTTCTAGGGTTAAAATTGACGAATTTAGAGCAGGGATTGTTTCATTATTACTTTTGTTAACAACTAAAAAGATATCTTGAAAATATTTTGCGAATATTGTGTTTATTTACAGTCAAATTAAAAGTATCACGTCATCTTAAGTTTTTAATTTAAGTCAATAAATCGCTGATTCAGTCTAGGTATCAATGCCATATAAATGGCACATGCTAATAAAATGTTTGACTTAACTTAAAATCTTAAGAATATTCAAATTGGCGAGCCAAGATCCATAGAAATCTATCTGTCATTTAACTAAACATATTGAAGCTGACGTGTGTGTAAGCATACAAAGTTGCTTTCTTCTTATCATAATAGCCAATGATAGCCAACTGCTGGACATAAGCCTACCCAAAAAGCAGGATCCCCCGTTCTTATCCAGCCACTTTTTTCATTCACGGCCACGGCTTTTACATTCTTTTGAGGACGTCGGTCCATCGAGCAAGAAGGCTTCATACACCTACGTAACGGGAAAACCAGTTCACTACATCCTCTATCATTATTTAAGACAGACAGTTCGGCCCACTGCCACTTTAACGTGCTAAATGGACTATGTCCATCACTCTGGTCTTCTTCGGTCCGGGTTTTATCCTATTACGAGATCAAAATTATCAACCTGCTTGCTGAGTGACGAATAATCGGTGGGTCAGTTACTTAGATTCCGTCGTTCTTTGCTCATAGGACTAAAAATATGACATGGACTTCTATGGTCTACCTTTGCCAATCAAAATGTTTTATCCATTGGCCTTTGGGAGTTTATTTCATTGAAGAGCGTTGACAAGTCAAGAGAGAGTCCTGAGCCTTGTTTTGGATTTAGTAAGCGTTTAAACTAAACATTTATTTATAAGACTTTAATTGTAACATTTCTAAGCAATATTTAAACTGTGTATTATCTTCGCGTGGGATTACAACTAAAATACTTCGGTAGTTAAAACATATTTTAATAGATATCTTAATTGTGAAATTTTAATAATAAATGCGGTTAGATAGCAATGCAGTAGCATCAAAAATTATAGAGTATTCAAAAATTTCAAAATATCTGATAATCACGACAAACAAATTCAGTTTCATTCTCCATTATATTTTTGATTGATAAGAAAATAAGGACACTTTTGTTTAAATTTTTCCTATTTTCATTTACAATTTTATATTTGCTATGTTGTCTGCATAAAATTATTTAAAATTTTCTGTACTTTTTCTTACAATTTTACCCACAATCGCTGTGAAAGAAGTGCCAATGTAAGAATTCGTTATTCGTTTGCTGCAGACTCACAGATATTTTGAAAGATTTGTGCTCATCTCATTGTTATTTCTGATGCTGACTGTTCAACCCTTATTTTGTCTGTATTTTGTTTGACATTTGGACAATGGTCCCAATGTTTGGTGACACAAACAAGAAACATACAACGATTTCAAAGTGTTATTCCCTTAAGCTACTAACTTAACTCACTTTAAATAATAGAATTTTAATGTAAAATGATTTCAACTTTGGTATGTGATTGTCATTTTTATATCACTTTTGTGATATTTTATTGTCGAGTGAGAAGTGAGTTAACAGAGTAGCCACTTAGCCTGTCTCCAGTTTTATTAAAGATAATTAAAGTATAATTAAATTAATTAATGTAACAATATCTTGAGTGTCAAAGTAGCCAAAGAGATTACTTAAATTCTAAATTTGTGTATGGATTTTAAAGTATAAAGTTTAATATTGTAAATACGATGTTTAATTCGATATTTCGTAAGTCTATGATATTTGTATTGGCATTATTAATAGAAAGTATTACTTATATACACGTGTGTATTTATATATCGTATATGTAAAATATACATCAAATCTATGAGTGTCGTAAAGCGTTCCTTTTGTTGTGAATGAGGTTTTTATTAACCAATTTATTAAAATATGTACGTGTAGAGTATAGCATATTATTATGATATATCAGAAAGTAATTGTAACACTAAGCCTTAGATTTGACTATTACCAAAGATTTTATACCACACAAAGGAGGATTACGCATTTTATTTATTTTAAATTTTATAATTGACGAAAGTATAATGAGCGTTAGACCTATATTTCAATATAAGAGGTTATAAAGAAATATATTTTTAATTAAATATCAATTAGTATATTATTCATAAGATAAGTTAGCAGGTAATCGTGGATATCTATTTTGATAAAGCACTGCAATCGATATTTACAATATTGCTCATTTTCCCGGTATCTCATTAACGTTAATCAATTTACGTAGAAGTCAACGCCATGTTTTCTGCTCACCCCTAAAATGCGTAATTCTGCTCTATTTATAAACTAATTATCCAAGTAATAAGAAATTATTCACAAATGCAGTCAGTTAAGTAATTAAATTACACAAAGTTGAATAAAAAAGCTCTACGATGCCACATAATAGTTCAGGATAGGTATTGTAATTTAAACGAATAGGAACGGACAAAAAACCCGTATTAGACCCCTAGATTTATAGACCCCTTTTGCCCTTATAATGAACGAATAAGCAAACGTAGAGTCAGCATCTGCAGCCCGTTTGACATTTCCAGAGAAAGCTACACTAGAATGCTAGTTTTCGCTTGAAATGTCAATCGGAACTCCGCCTCATACGGGGTCATATGCCATGGCCCCGCATGTGCCGGTCCTAAGCCCGGGTAAAGGAGGAAGGTTCGGCTAGGGAAATATTGGCACAAGACAATATTTTTCTAGCTCTTCTAGGTTAGTTAGGCTAAGTATTCAAACGGACTGCAGACATTGGCTCTACCGCTTTCGTCTGGCCTTAGGGTGGGTTGCTTAGTCGTCTTTACTTCGCCACTCATTCTAAAGATCCGGTGTCTCCCATCCGTTAAACGTTGCATGTTATCAGTCCGTCAAACAAGATAAAAAAAAACTAAAAATTTTAAATGCAAAATTTTTAGTAATTTGTGAATACTTTAGCCTTAATTCCAAGGATACTCATTCGATATCCTTGTGATTTAAAGTCTTGTGATCTATGTAACTCATAGATAGGCCAATTTAATGGAAAATGTTTAATGATAGTGCTTGAATTATCAAATTTTAGTGCCTATTTGCCAACTTGCAATTTAACAAAAATATCATTTACTTGAAAATATCATACAAGTTAATTCTGGGCGGAAACCATTCCTGCGTTGAGAGATTTATACCTAGTTTGTTGTGTAATCTGAAAAGGGTATCGTAATTCATTGACATATTTAACAGTTTTTAATCTTCATAAGGATCTAAACACCGTTTCCCATTAGAACAGGTACTCAATTGACTTTTATTATTTTCAAAGTATAAATAATATTATATTGAAAAGTATATTATTATTTGGATTTAATACCATGCCCACGGCATGCCCCGATTAATGCTGAGTGGGCCCCTATTTGACAGCAGGGCACAATGGTTTTTTTTGTAATTTATGTAATTTTTGTAAGATGTCGCTCTTTTTGTCAAATAAAACGGTTTATTATTATTAATATCAAAACATTTTAAGCACACGGTTATATAGGTACATAATATTCTCGCGTAGACAAGTATGGCATGATATAGTTTAAAAAATAGTATGTTTAATTTGTGAGTTCTGTATTGTAACTTAAAAACTTCATAAACCGTGGGTATTACCAGAATCTGCAGTTTGTTTGACATTTCTAGAGAAAGCTTAGAATGCTGGTTTTCGCTAGAAATGGAGGAACTCCGCCTCATACGGGGTCATATGCCATGGCCCCGCATGTGCCGGTCCTAAGCCCGGGGAAAGGAGGAAGGCTCGGCTAGGGAAATATTGGCACAAGACAATATTTCTTTAGCTCACTTAGGTTAACTAGGTTAATTAGATTAATCTTCAAACGGACTGCAGACACTGGTTCTACCACGCTTTTTCAAGCCTTAGGGTGGGTTGCATAGTTGTCTACTTCGCTACTCATTCTAAAGGTCTAGTGTCTCCCATCCGTTTGCTTAGTATTAGAAACACTGATATTATATTATTAAAATATTCATAAAACCACAATGAAACTTTAAAAATTTCACAACAAATTTTTAATGGTGTTTAAGTTAAGTAGTATTCTAGGTCAACAAATCACTAACCTAACTCAAAGGACACCCATGCGATATACCCACTAATCATGTAACTCTAAACATTATTAGAATGAAGAATTATTAATTACCCACTAATCATGTAACTCTAAACATTTTTAGAATGAAGAATTATTAATTACCCACTAATCATGTAACTCTAAACATTATTAGAATGAAGAATTTTTAATTACCCACTAATCATGTAACTCTAAACATTATTAGAATGAAGAATTATTAATTACCCATAGCCATAACCAACGTCATACTAACTTTTGTCAAAAAAGCAAATAAATACCGAATTTTTTTAAAACGGAAAAGTAAGAATTGAATAGTAGACACCAGTAAATGAACATTGTATGTATACTTTATTAGATGACTGTGAAAATACAATTCTCCATAAGCTTATAGCATTGAAATAATAAATCTATGAAGTTACTTAAGTTATTTTTAAAGCATCTTAAACATTTACTAGTAGGTAAATACATCACAAAAATGTAAGTAATAATATATTTAACGCGGTGAAATAAGATATGGATGTAATAGCTAAATGACACGAGACCACCAGTTTGGCAAACAATATTAAATTATCCACAACAATCTCACTGAACAAACGAATAATAAAATTGTATTCGAACAAAATTCGTGAATTACCTCTCAAAATTCCTACGGTTACAGTAAAAGAATTTGGCTTAAGTAAAACCAGAATCTGCAGTCGGTTTGACATTTCTAGAGAAAACTACACTCGAATGTTGGTTTTCGCTAGGAATGATAATAACTCCGCCACATACGGGGTCTTATTCTGACTGACGGCCCCGCATGTGCCGGTCCTAAGCCCGGGCAAAGGAGGAAGGCACGGCTAGGGAAATATTGGCACAAGACAATATTTCTTTAGCTCACTTAGGTTAACTAGGGTAAGTATTTCAAACGGACTGCAGACATTGGTTCTACTGTGCTCTCGTCAAACCTTAGGTTGAGTATCTTAGTAATCGGGCTGTACTTTGTTAGTCATCCTTCAGAGCTGGTGTCTCCCTTTCGTTTGTGTAATAAGTTAGTTGTAAAATTTAGTATAGGTTCAGGACAAGTTAACATCGATAATAATAAAAAAAAAATATGATTAATTTTTTAATAATACTCTGGTCTAGACTCACCTCTAGCCATCAATAGGACAAATCAGGAACCATTTATGCTGATATAGTGTGTGGTATAGTGACGGATGTTATGTATAAATAAAAAATAATGTCAATGATTCTGTATTCAGAATAATTTAAATTAATAATTCTTTTATAAATGAAAAAATATGCCAGATGTCTAGATTAAACATAATAAATTAATTAAATAATATTTATTAAACACTGAATTGTAATGTACCTAAACTAATAAGTACCCAAACCAGCAATTGTAATAACTAAATAATAAAGACCGTGTCCAAATACAAAAAGCCGAAATTGGATTGTGAATAACATTAACTACAAAGACTACCAGAATCTGCAGTCCGTTTAACGTTTCTAGAGAAAGCTGCATTCGAATATTGGTTCTCTCTAGAAATGGCAATAGGAACTCCGCCTCATACGGGGTCTTATTCTGACTGACGGCCCCGCATGTGCCGGTCCTAAGCCCGGGGAAAGGAGGAAGGCACGGCTAGGGAAATATTGGCACAAGACAATATTTCTTTAGCTCACTTAGGGTAATTAGGCTAGCTAGGCTAAGTTTTCTAAACGGACTGCAGACATTGGTTCTACCGCTTTTCAAGCTCTAGGGTGGGTAACTTAGTCCAGGAATATTCACTTTGCTACTCATTCTTGAGAACTGGTGTCTCCCCTCCGTTTTGTACGTTGATAGTTTTCGTGAAAGCAAGTATGTGGAAATAAAAACAAAAAATAAAAATTTGATTCAAATTTTTATCTTGAGAGAAGTTAGTCTTGCTAATAAATGAGAAATTCACGTGATTAATTGAAAAAAAGTAAGTTTACGAATCATAGTTTTGATAAACTTGACTGAACCCTCATGACGAGACAGATAGC